GTCTTGGAGGGGCTGTCGGGTCTCTATGTGGCATAAACGGGGGTGAGCGGTGTGCTCTCTCTATCTTAATATCCGTTAGTGATGGTATTTTAAGCACCTTGTGTAACAGTTCTTTAATAAATTCTGCCATGTTTCCTCCCTCACTCCCCTCTGGTACCTGAAAGATTCTCACATTATTTCTTCTCAGTCTATTCTGCAAGTCGTCGCAGGTGGCTGAGAGGGCAATATCACGGTGGATCAGGTATCGGAGCGCCCTCTGACGCCGCACCGCTACGTCCTCGGCCATGCCGACTCTGTCCTCCAACTTTCCAATCCTCCCTTCATGTTCGCCCATTTGAACTTTTATATCTAGCACCGTCTGTTCCAGTCGATCCAGAGACATTTTAGTTTGATTATGCCCCTCTTGATTTTCCTTGCGGAGTTTCCCCAGCTCACCCATCAACGTAACTTCATGGTCCGACTCGCACATGTTGCATATCTGTTGTCAAGCTAGCGCTAGCTAGGCGGGCCGGTCTCCGTTGTTTATTGGTTTTTTCCTTTGAGATATCTTGTTTGTTGGGTGCTTTGTTTCTGGTTGACGAGCTCATCATGCAGGAGTGCTCTTTCTTATTTTTAAAAACGTCTTATATTACTAGTTGTCTCTATTTTTGTGTATAGTCTGGCGGAGCTCCACTTCTAAGCTGCTGCTTCTCCAATGACGTCACCGGAAGTCCAATAATCAGATTTTAATGGTAAAAAACACCAATACAAGTTTACAGAGTACTCCGGACTCCCAGTTCTACTGCTGTGCGATACAGGTATCTGGACCAGCCAGTCAGAAACAGGGGGCCCTTTGCATGAAGAAACAACAGTATATATGGACCTATTTGGAGGTGGAGATGTGTCGGCTCTTCCGTCCCATTTTACTCCTAAACTAATTAGAGTTCTGGTAAAAAGTATCTTTCTTCTGAACAGAGCGTGACAGCATCGGAACTATACAAGGTCAGAATCACTTCGTATCTTATACCTGGGTTAACTCCTTTAATTTCCCAGGGAAGGTTTCACACAAACTATTATTTTAAAACAATCAAACATTGTACACAGATATATTGGTATTTCGGATTATTCCCAGCAAGGACCAAAGAAAAAGAACATGTGTGTGTGTTAGTGAGGGAAAGTGTATGTGTGTGTGTGTGTATGCTGATAAGCAGAGGCATATGTGTGTGTGTTGCTGATATCTGGGTTGAGGAGTTTATGTGTGTGTGCTGCATGAAGACAGGAGGAGGTGTATGTGTGTGTGTCAGGGTCTCTGGGTCATGGAGTGTATGTAAGAAGGTTTAGATATATAGGATTACTTTAAACAGTCCCAAATAATACATGTTCACTTCAATACAGTTCAAGATAATACCTGTTTACTTTAATACAGTTTAGAACAAATCTGGGTGCTTTAATCCCTAAAACAGATTAAAAAAGAGTTGTCTGAATTGAAACAGCAGTTAATTGAACCTGGTTCTTCGGGGAGTTAATAGAGGTGAGATCTTGCTGACGTTGGTGGATCTGAGCCAAGCAGTAAACTTACATAGACTCAATAACTTCGGTCAGGTCAATTAGTAGGTCAGAGTAATTTACCGGAATACATTATCAGGACCTCGCCGACTCTAAACACCGGTCACATGTGCAACAAAAGTATCAGATAGGCTTCAATTTACTTTTGATTGTCTATAATTAACTATAAAAAAATATCTGCGCTTTAACACTACGTTTATATGTACTTATTTTTACGGTTTGCATATGAGGTGGTCCGCGAAAATCCTTGATGATAAATAGTGGTCCGCAGAAACAAAAAGTTTGAGAACCCCTTGCTTAGCATATTCATACACACTGTTCATACTGCTCACAGGCTGCTGTGTATATCCAACCCAGTCTCATGGCATTTAATGTTCACCAACACGATTTGTAATCTATTGATTCGTGTTCACCAACACGATTTCCCCCTTTTTTCCGTGTTGCACAGCACGATTTTAAAAGCAATGTATTTATCCTGGTAATGTGTTTCGTGCCTGCAGGCTGCAGCACGTCTTTTTCTCCGGTCGGGTCGTGGAAGACCAGAAGCTGTGTGGTTCATAAAAACATGTTCTTACTCAATATCAAGTCACAGTTATTGCTTTTATTTTAAATCGTATAATTTCGGACTTTTGTTGCCGTCTGTGAGGAAAATAAATGGGGCTCAGAGCCTCAGGATACTGAAATCTGTATTTTTTAAATCTTTTTTTTTCCATTTTTCCCTTTAAACTGTGGGTTTTCTCCGGAAGTTTTTCCTTGTACGATGTGAGGGTCTAAGGACAGAGGGTGTCGTATTGTCATACTGATATTCTGTACAAACTGTGAAGACCACTGAGACAAATGTAACATTTGTGATATTGGGCTATATAAATAAACATTGATTGATTGAAATATCCTCTAATGCCTGTGCCCCCTAGCCTTGGGACACCAGATGGGTTTTTCTCCAAGACTAATAAAGCGGCTCTTCTGCACTACATTCTGGAGGACACCACCCCAGAGGATCTGCCATACCCTAAGGATGCCCTGTTCATCCAGGATGGCATGGCTCTGCTCCATGTCCTCACCAAACTTTCCCTCAACCTGTGGGGAGATATGCCTACAAGTGTTGATCAGATGGTGGCCAAAAAGCACTTTTTGTTCTCGACTGACAGTTACCATCCAGGATCTATCAAAGCACAGGAGAGGTTGAGACGTGGCAGTTCAGAGAAGATCATTTTGGCTGGACCAGCAACCAGGAAGCCATATGACTTCAAGATGTTTCTCACAAATGATGACAACAAAAACCAACTCTGCCAGCTCCTGCTGCGAGTATGGAGTGATCAACAGGCAGCTTCAAGGCTGGAGAGAACATAAATGGCAGTGCTGATCGTGGAAGGGAGAGCCCATCAACTTCTCTCCTCAAATGGCAAGGTAAATTGAAAGCCCATATTAAAAGTGATTGATGGTTAAATTATACTCTAAGTGATTATCTGTGATTTGTGTCTAGTCTCTGTCATTGTTGATCAAAGTGCAATGTCCCATTGTGTATCAGGTTGAGGTACGTGAGCTCCCCACAATCTACAGCAACCAGGAAGAGACTGATACAAGGGTGGTACTCTACCTTCATCACGCTGCTGCCCTTGGGTACAAGAATGCTGTGGTCAGAACACCTGACACAGATATCTTTGTGATTCTTCTTTACCACGCTCATGCCATAAAGCTGACTATATACCTGGATATGTCAGGGAAACATAGACAACTTCTCAACCTCTCTGAGCTCGCAGAATCCCTGGGAGAAGACTACTGTGCCACACTTCTTGGATTCCATGTGTTCAGCGGAGAAGACTGCACCAGTGCCTTCAAAGGGAAGGGGAAGGTGGGGCCCTTGAAAAAGCTGGAGAAGAACCCGAAGTTTCACAGGGCGTTCAGTCAACTCGGTGACAACTGGAATGTCAAGCCTGAGGTGCTGAAGCAGTTGGAGCAATTCACCTGTCTGATATATGGAGAGAGTCGTGAGTCTTCAGTGGACATAGTCCGTGCCAAGTTGCTGCGCAAAATGGTGGGGCAGGACGATAAACTCACTGCCAAGTCTAAGGTTGACCTGGCTCGCCTTCCTCCATGCTATGATGCTCTGAAGCCGCACGTCCAATGTGTGAACCATCGCGTCGCCCTGTACAAGCGAGCTGATGAATCAATTTTAGAAAAACCAAACCCCTATGATGAGGAGCAGGGATGGATGAGGACTGATGGAGTGTGGAGACCGGTGTGGTACTGTGGTCCTGTCGTGCCAACCTCCCTGGTTGATCTCCTGGACACGACAGAGCGTGAACAGGAAGACGAAGAGGAAGAGGAAGAGGAATTTGACTCTGATGATAGCATTGAAAACGATGATTGAGTATTAATCAGATAGTGGAGAGCCAAACCTTGACTGCTTATCTGGAATGGGAAAGAGTAGTCACATCAATCCTTATATTATGATGTTTGACCCTTGCTGTACGCTAGTACAAAACAAATACATATTGGTTAAATACACAACATCTGTCTAGACACCTTATTTGTTCACTTACTGTACTGCAATATTGGCGTCTCTTAATTTGCATAGCATGCCACAGATACATGTGATCACTTTGGGAATAGTTTTATTGTGATCTTTGACCATGAAAACATGGGTCTAGACCAGAGTTGGGTGTAACGCGTTACAAAGTATAAAAGTAGTTACGTTACTGTAACGCGTTACAAAGTAACGCGTTACAGTAACGTAACTACTTTTTTCGGGTAAAACGTAGTGTAACGCGTTACTACGAAACATTTGGTAACGTAACGTAGTTTCTTCTTCAATTCTCCGCAATGTTACTTTTACGAGTGACAGTGACACTGCCTACTCAGCTGCGTGCATTAGGCACGAGCTCTCATTCCACACTGTACGTGCTACGTGACGTGCTGGTGGTGGCATGAAGACTGAAGAGCAGTGATGGCAACGGCAAGTGAGAAGCAGGCGCAGCCAACGCTAACATTCGAGGGATGGAGGTATTCCCATTACTTCGAACTTGTTGACAATAAGGGGAAAAATGTGAGTGTAAGGTGCACGTTGTGCCCTGGCCAGAAACTTTTGTCCACTGCCGTTAATTCAACTGCCAACCTCATCAAGCATTTGAGAGGAAAACATGCTAGCATGAAGCTAGTAGCTCAAGATCCCCGGAGAAATGAAGATATTTCGAGTCCAAGCCCAAAGCAGCTAAAACTTCAGTTTCTCCTATCTAAACAAGAGTTGGACAAACTTGTAGCTTCGTTCATCGTCGAAGAAATGTTGCCCATCAATACTGTTGAATCTCCCACTTTCAGAAAGATACTTAGCAAGATACCGATAACAGGAGACAGGCGCCCATGGTCAGATCGTAAAACGTTCACTGGCTATCTGGATGAATGCTATCTGAAAATGGAGAGTGAATTAAAGAAAACGTTCGAGAGTTTGCCGTATCTGTCAACCACTGTGGATATATGGAGTAGTCATAACAGAAGCTTTTTGGGAATCACTGTGCACTGGATCAATCCATGCAACTTTAAACGTGAGAAAGCTGCCATCGCATGCAAAAGAATAAAGGGCAGGCATACATATGATGTTATAGGCTTTGAAATGGAACAGATTCACTCAGCATTTGGCCTTTCACATAGGATCACCGCCACCGTTACAGACAACGGGTCTAATTTTGTTAAAGCTTTCAAGATGTATGCACCGCCTGAGCCTAACGAGGAGGAGGATAATGACGAGCAAGGTGTCGTTTTCACAGATGTGGAAGAGTTGCTTGGGGCCACAGAAGGACAGTTTTCTCTTCCCCCGCATTTCAGGTGTGCTTCGCATACACTCAATTTGATCTCGTGCAATGACATCGACAAATGGCTGTCCTCCAACAGTGACTCAAAATGTGTGTACAGGAGTGCAACGGCAAAGTGCGCTGCTCTTTGGACAAAGGCGAGCCGCTCTACCTTGGCCTCTGAGATTGTCGATGAAATCTGTGGAAAAAAAATGATTGTGCCTACATCAACAAGGTGGAATTCCTTCCACGATGCCCTGTCCCGCATCAGTGACATCCCGGCCCAAGATTTGAATACGCTTTGTACTAGACTGGACATCAGAGCCCCGACAGAGCGCGAACATCTATTCCTAAAGGAATACTGCAGTGTTTTGAAACCCCTGACGGTAGCACTGGATATATTGCAAGGGGAAGACAACTGCTACTATGGGACTCTTCTACCAACCCTGGAGACCCTGATGTCCAGGACACTGGCACTCCAAAATGGACTGTCGAGGATGACAGCAAACCTACCGGGTGTAATTGTACAGGTAAGCCGATTCTTAAAGTTAGTAGCCTAGGCATATACATCATATATAGCCTACGATGTCTATGATATAAATGTATATGCCTATCCATTAACGGACATTTCTTAATAAATATTCTTAAGATAAATGCATTATGCCTCCCCTGATGGAGCTCTAGTGAGTCGTGTGTCTGAAAACTAGGCTTATTTGTTCTATATAATTTTGTCCTAGGCTATCAGGACGCGATTCGCACCAGTGTTGGAGAGCAGTGAAGCTTTATTGGCTGCCTTGACGTTGCCGAAATTTAAAGTTCGATGGATTGTGGGAGCGGAGCGGAGAGAAGCGGCGCGTGCGCTGCTCATCGCGGAGTGTCGCACTCTACCCCGTGATGAAGAGCCGGCTAACAATAAAAACCGAGAAGCCGCCGCACACAGCAGCGCCAATGAGAATGACTTTTTTTCTTTTGATGAGGAAGAGGAAGACGCAATGTCCATTAGCGCAGACTCGGAGGTATTTGAGTACATGAGATCAGGCTCAGAGTTAGAAGTCCTCAACCGTTTCCCCCGAGTGAAAGCTGTGTGTATGAAATACAACACTGCCACACCATCCAGTGCACCGGTGGAGAGGCTGTTCAGCCTGGGAGGTATTGTGCTTTCCCCCAGAAGAAACAGACTCTCAGATAAACGTTTTGAAAGACTGCTGCTGATGAGGTATAATCGCACATTTTGTACTGATGTGGAATAGGTTGCCTGCCACCCATGCTATAGACATAGCTCAAGCCTATGCCTAATATCCTCTTTTTTTTATCTGCCATCATACTGTGAAGAAGGGTGAGCATATGCAGTGAACATAGCCTTTTAATTCTGAGGCCAGTCCTGCTTTAAGTTGTTCTTGATTTTATTTTGGCTAAAATGTCTTTGCTTCCAAGCTGTATTATGCCATTTTATTTTATTTACACAAGCCATCGATATCAAGACATTTTGAAGTTATTCTTTTTCTGTTGGATTTACATGAGGCATGTTTTATTTTGAGACACATGAGCCATTTTGAGGTTATCATGTTGTTCCTAAGGAGCCTATTGATATGATTTGCACTAGCTTTGCACCTATTTTGGGGCTAGCCTGTTTAATGATTATGATTTTATATTGATATTTGATATTGATAGCCCAATGTTTTGTTAAGTGCTCTGTGGCATTTTTTTATAATAAAGAGCACAAAAGAAATATCTGTTATGTCCTCCATATATGTAGAACTTTATGTAAGCCTACACATTTAGGAACAGAGATGGAGTTCTGCCCAAAGTCGAGCAACATAAAAGTAACGTAAAAGTAACGAGTAACGTAAAAAGTTACTTTCCTTGCAGGGTAACTAAGTAAAGTAAGGGATTACTTTTTTAAAGAAGTAACGAGTAACGAGCAAACACTACTTTTTAAAAGTAACTTCCCCAACACTGGTCTAGACACATTATTTGTTCATTTATCTGCAATATTGGCTGAGATAGAGTGAAAAGTGTGAAAATTCAGTTTTTGGTAATGGTGACACTAATTTGCATAAAATATACATGTGGGACATCCAGACAACATTTTAACATAGCTCATCATTTTCTACATACTTTTTCCACTTAGGAAACACTGATTATAAGTATATTTCTGTGTCGGTGCAAAATACACCCTTCTTGGTACAAGACTGAAATGCTATTTTCTTGTAATGGCGGCACTAATTAGCATAATAGCATGCCACAGACACATGTGATCACTTTAAGAATAGTTTTATTGTGTTCCTTGACCCTCAAAACATGGATCTGGATACCTTATTTGTTCAGTTATCTGCAATAATGGCTGAGATACAGTGAAAGGTGTAAAAAGAGTGAAACTCGATTTTTAGGGTAAATAAACACTAATTTGGGGAAAATATATACGTGGGACAATTTGCCAACTTTTTAACATAGCTAATCGTTTTCTACACAATTTTTCCAATCTAGAAAAGCTGATTAGAAGTATATTTCAGGGGGGTGCATGATACCCCCTTCTACCCACCCAACTATAGTGAATACCGGTGAATACACATACTTTACAGAGATGTGTGTTTGGAAAATTGCACGGTATAAATCTATTTTAGCAGACCTCAGCAATGGAATTATGATCAGTAGAAATGGCCATGACATGGGACCTTTAAGTAAAAAGCTAAATGTATCTTGGTTCAACGGAGCACAATTCATTCTGTACGTTTTGGTGCAGCTTTAAAGTTTTTTTTTCATTGTGTTTTTAAAATGTCGATAAAATACAAAAAAATCACAACGTTTTTATTTCTTTAAAACCTTCCTATATATATCACGTCTGTGGGAATGCTGTAGACGTGATGACCTTCACTTTAACGTGCTGTAGTGCGTCACTGATGATCAGAGTTCCAGGGCAGAAAAGAATGTGAGCAAATACCAACTAATGAACAGAGACAAAAACAAGACTTGTGTGTGTAATTACATCATATGAATGAACGAAATGAAGCTCAGCGCAAGTTCAACCAGGAAGACCGTCTTTATATAGTCATTCACGTATTTCGTTCTTATACGCTCGGTATATTCGTCCTGGGTGATACTCCCGAACAACGGGGTCTAATCAAACACCATAACATTCATCTGTGTATTTCTTGGCGACAAATATATATTGTTACATCAAAACACGTCTCTCCTGATTGAATGGAGGCTACAGGGACACAATAAACTGCAGGCGTTGTTATTCCATAAGTGTGTGACATCAAACAATGTTCCCCCAGACCACCAACTTCCTAGAACAGTGGTTCCCAACAGGAACGGGGGTAAGGGGACCCCTAGGTGATTGCAGGGGGCACATAGAAAGATTAGAGATTGCAATATATTTCCACACAAAAAACTTTTTCAAATACATTTCCATAAGTCTGGTGTCCTGCCCCCGGAACCATCAATGCTCTTAACAAAAGATCTTGCTAGCAGTGTCTAGAGGTGTCTTCATTATTTTCCACTCACAATAAGTTGAAATGTCAAGTTGCAGGGTGAGTTATACAAGTGATTTTCATCTAAGGAGCAGTTGGGTTGAATACAATTACAATGGGCTTAACACAAGAAATGCAGGCGAATCATCAGAGGGGGGGGGGGGGGGGGGGATCATCTCCAAAAGTAACAGAAAGTACTCAGGTGACATTACTTATGTTGTGATACTCAGGTTACGCGACAGATTTCACTTTTTTTTTACAGTTAACTATTCATTGTAATCGATACAAATGTTAAGTAACCCTCCCAACCCTGTCAATCACTTTGAGAGAACAACACACAGATGACTGTATTCACGGATCATTTATTTTCATTAGCTTGTCAGTGGTGTGAAAGCTGTAAACAGACACTGTGATGGGGGTGAAGCTGGACAGGGTGGCCCCATTTTCAAATGTTACATCATCTTTGTCTATATATTGTTGGGTTTTTGTTGTTTCTTTCTATGAATGGCTTAACATAAGTTTATAATTAGAGCTAACTAAAGGCATGGGACAATATGCATGTATATCTTTTTATGATAATGTCCGACAGACCTTTTGATCATTTAAAAATATTTAACGGTTTACTTTGCATCAAATGAAGAGGGCGCAAAGCAATTCCACTACAGTCATCTCAATAACATAACATTGCTAGAAAAACACAAATAATCATCATCAGCAACAAACACATCTCTTCTAAGACTGAACGTCTCGACAAAAACGTTGTAACTGTAACTGTTAGCTAAAGCAGAGGAGAACATAATTGATGATGACGATGGGTAGCATTTCCCTTTTCACGACAAATGATCAGGGATATGTATGAAGGCAGAGGAGTGAGAGTGGCATCAGCTAGTAGCTACATTTTCTGGATCATGATTTGGAATTTACCTGCAGAGACATTAAAAACAGAGACATGTTAGTCCATACTTTGTTAATATATTCAGATATAAAAATAAAACAATTTATTCTGCTTTAGTGTGTCTCTAACATTTCCACAATAACTTAAAAAGAGGGTTGAATGGAATATTGGAGGTATTGCCTTTCCTAGTAGAGAGGCCCAAACTGCAGCTTGAGTAACCTCAGAGTAAAGCCCAGCTCTCTGACACATGATCAGACCTTTGACTCAGTTATAGCGTGACACCACGGCAGAGCAGGACTGTGGTACTGAAGAATGTCAGGTCCATGCAGGATGCTGCTGTCTGTGTCATGCTAATGTCTATCAGCAGATACAAGCTCACGTGACACATTTCTGCTAAGTGTTACTATTACAGTGGTTAAAAGCTGGCAGTAACAAATAAAGATATGTACTGTCCACCATTATGATCAATGACCTCCTACCAAATGCACCAGGAAGTGATTGCAAACTATTGGCCTTTTAACAAATAAAACTACCTATTCGTTTTACTAGGATAAGAACATAGGGATGAGGCTCAAGACTTTTGGAAAATAATTGGAAAGGGATCATGGAACCATGACATTTCTGAAAGTTATTTTTTGATTTACAGATATGGGTGGACCATGTCAGGAAATAAGCTCCAAAGAGCTTAAGTAATACATGTGATAGTGAGTGGGAGTGAGTTGCTCAGCGCTGAAAGAAAGAATGAGGTCTTTATCAGATCTGTGTTGGATTTAGGCAGCAAAGCATTTGGATCTGAAGCAAGCTCTCTGAGAAAAAAGTAGATGTGAGGCACAGGCAGTGCCTTATGCTTTAAAAACATCGCCAGTTCCGGCCCTACAGGTAGAATCAAGAGGACGCAGCGGAAGGCAAATTATTAGGCTAGACAGGGTAACTGGAATTCTCTGATTTATACCCCTTTTCCACCAAACCGGTTCCGGTTCAAGATTCTTTCTTGTGCTTTTCTGGAGCTTAACTGGTTCTTCTCTGTAGCATCACTTGTGTTTCCACCGCTTAGAGCCATGGATGTATAATAAGAACTGGATACAGTGTCGGAGGCGGGGTCTCATTCTTTACGATGAGAGCTGCTCATTGGCGCATGAGGACAAAATGGCCTGATATTTTCGAGAGCAATACGTCACAGATTACCCGTCATGCCTGGCTGTCAGAGCAGAAGTACCCGTATGTGCGATCACAGAGCATGCGCCCCTTAAGCCCCGCCCCCGAGCTTCCACTCCTGGCTCACTAGAATGAATGGAGAGAGAACATAAAACTAGATTCGGCTTTTACGTTTGCATTTTACAACTTTAAGGACCGTATGAATCTAATAAGGGCTATACAAGTGTTCATACTGGGTAGTTTTAGTTTTAAAAAAAGTATCCGCTGATTTACAAACGTCTCTTTCCCAATGTTAGTCAATGGGAAAAAGTATTTCTGGGCCCAGTGACGTCACGGACTGATACGGAAATTGTAGTACCGCCGTTTGGACACAACGAATATTTTCCTCAGAGTCCGGCGCACTTCCTGGGGGCTTGCTCAGAGCCCGACTGGTGCTGCCGCTGCTGCGTCATGACGTCACCGTTTACGTCGGTTTACGTTTCTCGCAACAATGAAGGACTGCGTCAGGTCGATGATCGTGTTTCTTTTAATCATAAGAAACCAGAATAAATTAAATAACTACTTCTCAACCGTTGTACTTTTTTCCAGAGTGCCATGGTTCATTGTTTATTAATGTGGTTCAGCGGCATTTACCGACAGCTGCAGTGCTGCTCGTCCACCGGAGTTTTGTCTCCTGTTAACTCACGGCAGAGTTTAGTCTACCGTTAACTCACAGGAGCGGCCGCTGGGAAGTATTCACTGTCTGACTGTCACACGAGCAGCTGATAAATATCGCCCATCAACATAAGTGAATGTGTTTCAGTATTAATTGACGCTGTTTGGCATCACAACACAGTTATGAAAGTTTCTCTGGTATAAAATGGGTGATGTTAGCATAGCAACATCCTATTGTGGCATAAGCCGTTTTATACAGGCACATTTTACCGGCGTATTTATCATTATGATTCTACTTGTGATAGTCGGACATGACAACCTGTGTAGCCCATGTATCGATTCCATCCGATAGAGCATAATACAAAACAACAGGAAAACGTCTGTCTGCTCTCCACAATGATCAATAACAGCGAACGGGTGGCCAAAGTAAGGTCAAATTAAACAGAATCCCACGAAGCCTGGTTAGTGTTGCCTGACTTTATAAAGTGTTTTGTCGCGTTCTAGTCACTTTGCTCAGCGCTACTGCTTGTTACAACTTGTATTTGCCGTACTTGCCATTAACTGTTATTGCTCAGGTTAATCCCGCCCCCGCCTCCGACGTAAACGTGGAGTATTGGTTCTTGGTTCTTGCCGGGCAGCCGAGTGGGGCCAGCTAAGAACCGGTTTCTCAGTGCTTAGAGAATCAGACATTAAGCTCAGAGAAGAACCAGAGCTTAATCAGGCTTTTCCACCGGTTTGGTGGAAAAGGGGCATTAAAGAGCCACTACTATGCTCATGTCCAGGTGTAAATCAGTATATAGTGTCTCTACTTTAAAGAGTCCTCTCCTGCTGATGTTCAGGTGTATATCAGTATGTAGTGTCTCTACTTTAAAGAGTCCTCTCCTGCTGATGTTCAGGTGTATATCAGTATGTAGTGTCTCTACTTTAAAGAGTCCTCTCCTGCTGATGTTCAGGTGTATATCAGTATGTAGTGTCTCTACTTTAAAGAGTCCTCTCCTGCTGATGTTCAGGTGTATATCAGTATGTAGTGTCTCTACTTTAAAGAGTTCTCTCCTGCTGATGTTCAGGTGTATATCAGTATGTAGTGTCTCTACTTTAAAGAGTCCTCTCCTGCTGATGTTCAGGTGTATATCAGTATGTAGTGTCTCTACTTTAAAGAGTCCTCTCCTGCTGATGTTCAGGTGTATATCAGTATGTAGTGTCTCTACTTTAAAGAGTTCTCTCCTGCTGATGTTCAGGTGTATATCAGTATGTAGTGTCTCTACTTTAAAGAGTCCTCTCCTGCTGATGTTCAGGTGTATATCAGTATGTAGTGTCTCTACTTTAAAGAGTCCTCTCCTGCTGATGTTCAGGTGTATATCAGTGTGTAGTGTCTCTACTTTAAAGAGTCCTCTCCTGCTGATGTTCAGGTGTATATCAGTATGTAGTGTCTCTACTTTAAAGAGTCCTCTCCTGCTGACGTTCAGGTGTATATCAGTATGTAGTGTCTCTACTTTAAAGAGTCCTCTCCTGCTGATGTTCAGGTGTATATCATTATGCACAAAAACCTTTAGAACACGCCAGAGAGAAGGGAAACTCCAAAAAGCATTTTAGGGCCCTTTAAACATAATCAATAAGATTGAATGATTTATCAGAACAAACTGAAGAAGGATGAGATCAAAATAAATGACAGGTAATTTAATGATTTAATTAATAAAATCAATAAATACGTGGCTGTATTCTCTGTGTGCCGAATAAAACCCTGTACAATGTGGCTTTGTCTAGAAGCTGGAAAGTAGGAAAGAAGCCGTCCTGTGTGGAGGCAGAAGTTACATGTACAACTAATGTTTATTTTTTATTAAGAGGAGGCTTTGTTTGTGAAAAAAAGAGAGTGAGGGATCATTAAAGTCGCACACCAAATAAATATATTCAATTAAAGCACAAACTAGTCAATCCAGGGCACAAATGACTAATTTAAGAGCACACTTTCTTAAATCAAAATAACTAAACCACACTGGGCTCTGTACAAAATACAGAAACAAATGTGATGTCATTAATACATTCTCTATCATTTTCCTGAACCTCTCACATCATCTAATAGTTTGTCTCATGACAGATATTGAAAGGAATACAATCTATCTAGTCTCTGATTGGATGATAGAGGAGTGATGTGTGTCTTACATGCAGGCATGACGGACACCTCAGCAGTCACGATGCTCTTCACTCCAAGGTTGGACAGTGCTCCTCTCACCAGTCCACAGCTGAAGGCCAGATACTGCAGAAAAACATCAGTCGTCTGAGTCACTCACACACATTCTCATAGGCTGCCATCAGCTGTAGAAGTCCTGATAATGTGTTAGCTCTGGGTACTGATATGTCACAGTACATCAGAGAGTAGCATTGGACACACTGCTGTGAGCACCAAACGCAGTAGCTAACATATCAATGAATCAGATTAAGTGTAAAAGAGGTTGGAGGTAAAACTGAACTTGATTTATTCTAGCTGTCGAACAGACATCCAGTCCAGACCCTCCTCACACAACTCATTTACAATGATAGTCCATCCATCCATCCATCTTCTCCCGCTTATCCGTGGTCGGGTCGCGGGGGTAGCAATTCCAGCAGAGAGCCCCAAACTTTCTTTTCCCTGGCGACATCAACCAGCTCTGACTGGGGGATCCCAAGGCGCTCCCAGGCCAGCGAAGAGATATAATCCCTCCACCTGGTCCTAGGTCTACCCCTTGGTCTCTTCCCAGCTGGACGTGCCTGGAACACCTCCCTAGGGAGGCGCCCAGGTAGCATCCTAACTAGGTGCCCGAACCACCTCAACTGGCTCCTTTCGACGCGAAGGAGGAGCGGCTCAACTCCGAGTCCCTCCCTGATGACCGAACTTCTCACCTTATCCCTAAGGGAGACACCAGCCACCCTGCGGAGAAAACCCATCTCGGCCGCTTGTATCCGCGATCTCGTTCTTTCGTTCATGACCCATCCTTCATGACCATAGGTGAGGGTAGGAACGAAAATGGCCCGGTAGACAGAGAGCTTTGCCTTCTGGCTCAGCTCCCTTTTCGTCACAACGGTGCGGTAAAGCGACTGCAGTACCGCTCCCGCTGCTCCGATTCTCCGGCCCATCTCACGCTCCATTGTTCCCTCACTCGAGAACAAGACCCCGAGATACTTGAACTCCTTCACTTGGGGTAAGGACTCATTCCCTACTTGAAGTGGACAGTCCATCGGTTTCCTGCTGAGAACCATGGCCTCAGATTTGGAGGTGCTGATCCTCATCCCAGCCGCTTCACACTCGGTTGCGAACCGATCCAGTGAGTGCTGAAGGTCGCAGACCGATGAAGCCATTAGAACCACATCATCTGCAAAAAGCAGTGGTGCAATCCTTAGTCCACCGAACTGCAGACCCCCTCCCCCACGACTACGCCTCGAAATCCGATCCATGTATATTACAAACAGGATTGGAGACAAAGCGCAGCCCTGGCGGAGGCCAACCCTCACCGGAAATGTGTCCGACTTACTGCAGAGGACCCGGACACAGCTCTCGCTTTGGGAGTACAGAGATTGGATGGCCCTGAGTAGAGAAGCCCTCACCCCATACTCCCGCAGTACCTCCCACAGTAACTCCCTGGGAACTCGGTCATACGCCTTCTCCAAGTCTACAAAACACATGTAGACCGGATAAGCGTACTCCCAGGCCCCCTCCAGGATCCTTGCGAGAGTAAAAAGCTGATCCGTCGTTCCACGACCAGGACGGAATCCGCATTGTTCCTCCTCAATCTGAGGTTCGACAATCGGCCTGACCCTCCTTTCGAGTACCTTAGAGTAAACTTTCCCGGGGAGGCTGAGTAGTGTGATGCCTCTGCCTCCTTCGGTACTGTTTCCGACTTCCACGCAACGTTGATGAGACGTGTCAACCATGACAGTCCCTCAACACCCAGAGCCTTCAGCATTTCCGGGCGGATCTCATCCACCCCCGGGGCTTTGCCACTGTGGAGTTGTTTGACGACCTCAGTGACCTCCCCCCGGGAGATTGGTGTTGATCCCCCGTCATACTCCAGCTCTGCCTCTAACATAGAGGGCGGAGTTGTCGGGTTCAGGAGTTCCTCAAAGTGTTCCTTCCAACGCCCTAACACTCCATCAGTTGAGGTCAACAACGTCCCATCCTTACTGTACACAGCTTGGATGGTTCCCTGCTTCCCCCTCCTGAGGTGTCGGACAGTTTTCCAGAACAACTTTGGTGCCGCCCGAAAGTCCTTCTCCATGTCTTCTCCGAACTTCTCCCACACCCGCTGCTTTGCCTCGGCCACGGATGAGGCTGCTGCCCTTCGGGCCTGTCGGTACCTTAAAACTGCCTCGGGAGTCCCCCGGGATAACAAATCCCTGAAGGCCTCCTTCTTCAGTCGGACGGCTTCCCTGACCACCGGTGTCCACCAGGAGGTTCGAGGGTTACCGCCCCTTGAGGCACCTAGGACCTTGAGACCACAGCTCCCCGCCGCGGCTTCGGCAATAGAGGCTTTGAACACCGACCACTCTGGTTCAATGTCCCCAACCTCCACAGGAATGCCCGAAAAGCTCCGCCGGAGGTTTGAGTTGAAGGCCTCCTGAACTTGGGCCTCCTCCAGACGTTCCCAGTTCACCCGAACTACACGTTTGGGCTTACCAGGTCTATCCAGAGGCTTCCCCCGCCACTCGACCCAACTCACCACCAGATGGTGATCAGTTGACAACTCCGCCCCTCTCTTTACCCGAGTGTCCAAAACATACGGCCTCAGGTCCGATGATACGATAACGAAATCGATCATGGACCAGAAGGTCCATGATCGGGTGCTCAGCCTAGGGTGCTCTGGTACCACGTACACTTATGAGCATCCTTATTTTCGAACATGGTGTTTGTTATGGCCAATCCATGACTAGCACAGAAGTCCAGTAACAAAGCACCACTCCGGTTCAGATCAGGGGGGCCGTTCCTCCCAATCACGCCCCTCCAAGTGTCTCCATCATTGCCCACATGTGCGTTGAAGTCTCCCAGCAAGATTAAAGAGTCCCCTTCAGGAGCCCCATACAGGACTCTTTCCAGGGTCTCCAAGAAGGCCGTATACGCTGAACTGCTGTTGGGTGCATAAGCACACACAACAGTCAGAGTTTTCCCCCCCATAACCCGCAGGCGTAGGGAGGCGACCCTCTCGTCCACTGGGGTAAACTCCAACAACGTAGCACCTAACCGGGGACTTGTGAGTATCCCCACACCCGCCCGGCGCCTCACACCTTGAGCAACTCCGTAGAAGAATAGAGTCCAACCCCTATCCAGAAGTAAGGTTCCAGAGCCGACGCTGTGCGTAGAGGTGAGCCCAACCAGATCCAACTGGTAACGCTCCACCTCCCGCACAAGCTCCGGCTCCTTCCCCCCCAGAGAGGTGACGTTCCACGTCCCCAAAGCCAGCTTCTGTCGCCCGGGTCTGGTCCGTCGAGACCCTCCGCTTTCACTGCCACCCTTCTGGCAGCGCACCCGACCTCATCGCTGAGTCCCGTAGGTGGTGGGCCCACGGGACGGAGAAGCGGAGGTGTTGCCCAATGCACAATGATAGTTCTCTACATTAAACTAAACAGTACAGGGAGCTAAAGCAGTCATCCACCATGGTGTCCATGTGAATGTTTATCACTGCTGAACGCTAACATGTCAGTGTTCGGAAGTGTGTGTGAATAGGTGAATTCTGTCTTGTTAAGCGCTTTGAGGTCAGATTAGAAATACGCTATTTAAATATTAATTTACCATTTATTTACAGGACTCTATACATAACATTACAGGAACAAATATATAATTAATAAACCAAAAAGCTTATAAAAGATAAACTTTAATTTGTCGGCAGATGTTCAGTACTACTATATTTAGATTGGGGAGACGAAAGTGACAGAACGCATGCCACTGCAGCTCAGCAGTTGCAACTAGCAGGAAGTAACCAAGCTGAACAGATAACCCTGCAGATAGCGTTACATCCAGCCCACCAACACCAGCTCTGAACCCTGCATGTTCAGCCGTGGGACGCACCTTGGGGGCGTGTTCCAGATACTGTTTCCCTGCCGACAGCTGACTCAGCAATCGGAACTTGTTGTCCTGGAGAACATAGATGCCCTGAAACACACGAGCGCAGCATCAGCACTGACAGACTGATCCCATAATACTTTAATGGTCACAGCAGCTCCATTGGCAACATCAACACATACTAAGACAAGATACACAGATACAGACATTTAACCAAACATCACGATCACTGAAGAGAACATGTTCAAGACCCTCTGACGTACATTAGATCTGGGATTACCTCTGTGATTGATTTTAGGATGACTGGTGCACAAAGGAGAGCTTCAGTCTGACCTTATTCAAATGTGGGACTCAGATGTGATGGAGTTCATGTCGGTTAAATGCCGCCCGTTCTTTCTACCTAGAGAGCTAACTGTAGTGATTGTCACGGCTGTGTATATACCACCACAAGCTAACGTCAACACCGCACTCTCCCTCCTGCTAAACTCCATCAACCACCAACAGCAGGCTCACCCCGATGGCGTTCACATTGCTGCAGGAGATTTCAATAAGGCCAACCTAAAATCTGTCCTGCCTAAATTCTACCAGCATGTCAAGTGTCCGACCAGAGGGAAAAACACTCTTGATCATGTGTACTCCAACATCAAGCACGCATAGAGAGCCATACCTCTCCCCCACCTAGGCCTGTCAGATCATATCTCCCTGTATACACCCCCCTTAGACGGAGAACAAGTCCAACTAGAAAGTCTGTTACAACCTGGCCTGAGGATGCACTTGCTCAGCTTCAGGACTGCTTTGAACAAACCCAGTGGGATGTATTTGAACACCAGCACCAGGACCTGGCAGCCTACACAGAGACGGTACTGTCCTACATACTGTATCGACAACGTCACTGTGGTAAAAAGCATCAGGGTTTTCCCAAACCAGAAACCCTGGATGACTGGCCGGGTCCGCATGCTGCATGCTGCTCAAGGCCCGTGACTCAGCCTTCAGGTCAGGGGACAGAGCTCTCTACAGTGCTGCTCGAGCCGACCTGAGGAGAGGAATCACAAAAGCCAAGACAGACTACAAAACAAGGATTGAGGACCACCTCACAAGCAACAACCCTAGGCAGGTGTGGCAGGGCATTAAGAACATTACCAACTACAGGGGGTGTGACACGGCAACTGGGGACTCAAGCGTGTTGCTAGCAGAGGAACTGAACTGCTTCTTTGCTCGCTTCGAGACACCACAGCAGCAATCAGCAACTCCACCCCAGCCCCCAACCGCCTCCAGCACCCCCCCACTTACTGTGGAGGAGCATGATGTGAGACGGGTGCTCAAAGCAGTGAACCCCAGGAAGGCTGCTGGTCCAGATGGAGTACATGGGAAGGTGCTCAGAGCGTGTGCCAACCAGCTCTCACAGGTCTTCACCAGCATTTTTAATCTCTCCCTGAAACTCGCTGTTATCCCACCTTGCCTTAAAAACTGCCACTATCATCCCTGTTCCTAAGAAAGCAACCACAGACAGCCTTAATGACTACCACCCCATTGCACTCACACCTGTGATCATGAAGTGTTTTGAGAGGCTGGTGTTACATCACATAAAGGCCTGCCTTCCCCCCACCCTCGACCCACACCAGTTTGCCTACAGAGCAAATAGATCCACTGAAGACGCCATAGCTCTCCACTCTGCACTGAGCCACCTGGAGCATCGTAGGAGCTACGTCAGATTGCTCTTTATTGAATACAGCTCAGCGTTCAACACAATCATCCCGGACATTCTAGTTTGCAAACTGTCAAACCTAGGCTTTCCCCCACCCACCTGCTCCTGGATCAAAGATTTCCTCACTAACCGCCCCCAGCGTGTGAGACTTGGTTCCCATCACTCCTCCACCCGCACTCTCAGAACCGGCTCTCCTCAGGGCTGTGTGCTGAGCCCTCTCCTGTACTCGCTCTACACCCACGACTGCAGTCCAGCCCACCCAGAGAACATCATCGTCAAGTTTGCTGACGACACCACTGTGGTGGAGCTCATCTCAGGAGGAGACGAGTCGGCCTACAGGAGTGAGGTACTGAAGCTCTCAGCGTGGTGTTCAGTGAACAACCTGGCACTGAACCCCACAAAAACCAAAGAGATCATTGTAGACTTCAGGAGGAATACTACCGACCTCGCTCCCCTCGACATTAACGGCAAGTGTGTGGAGAGGGTCCACACCTTCAAGTTCCTCGGCGTCCTCATCACCTAACCTTCGTTGCTAACCTTTCCTGGAAGGACAACACCACAGCTGTCATCAAGAAGGCCCAGCAGCGTCTGCACTTCCTGAGGGTGCTCAGGAAGAGCAACTTGGCCACTAATGGCACGTTTCCACTACAGCGCGAAGCTCGCTTTAAGCGTGCCGAGCCGTGCGGGGCCCGTTTTTGGTTGCGTTTCCACTTGGCCTAGTACCACCTAGCAGGTACTATTTCACAGTTTTCTGGCCCCATAAAATTGAGGTTCTTTCCGGGCCAACAACCAGGCTGAGTCGGGCTGAGTATGCTAAACTAGAGAGAGAATCGCTGGCAAGGGGGCTACAACTACAACAAGATGAACATATTTGACCGTGATTTAATTCAAAATGATGCCGAAGTAACAACATACTGATACCGGTTAGTAAAAACCATGAATTAATGCTTTGACAAGTCTGCAGACAGACGGCAGGCGAAAAACCTTTTAAAATGCGCGTTGTCTAAATGGAGATTGGCTAAGCTAACGTTATATATGCTCCGACCGTCCACACTCACAACAACGGCCTATACAGACATAAATAAACCAGCGACTGTATTCTCCATGACACAGGCAGTCTGTGGTTTGTACTTGTTTAACTTTTGTCTAGTTTCTGAACAGATATGAAAAGCTGTGAGCTCTGAGTGCTAAGAGCTTACGGCTGTGTTGTTTTTCTGGGGCTCTCATTGAAGATGACGTCACGGCTCCGCCTACACTGCGTTACTATAGTAACTACCCCAGTTCCTAAACTGTAATGGAAGCGCAGCATAAAGTGAGCCGGGCCTAACGAGGCCTAGCCAAACCGAGCGAGGCCGTGTAGTGAATGCTCCATAAGCTGCTGGTGACCTTCTACCGCTCTACCATCAAGAGCCTATTGACATGCTGCATCACAGTGTGGTACGCCAGCTGCACTGAGGCCGACAGGATAAGGCTCCAGACTCTCCTAAAAGCAGCACAGAGGATCATCGGCTGCCCTCATTTACACCTCCCGCTGCCTCAGAAGAGCCAAAAACATTGTTAAGGACAGCTCACACCCCGGCTTTCACCTGTTCAACCTGCTGCCGTCCGGAAGGCGCTACAGGTGTATACAATCCAAAACAAACAGACTCAAAGACAGTTTTTTCCCAAGAGCCATCATTGCTCTTAACACCTGAAATCATACCTCTTAATCATCCTGCATGTGAAATAAATGTGACTGTGTATATATATATATACATACATACCAGCGACGTGCAGTCAGGGGAGGCAGGGGAGGCAGAGCCTCACCTGTCATACTCCAATGTAACGGAAAAACAACTAAAGAAAAACTAAATAGTAATAATAATAAAATGTCTCCACTGATCTGTGTTGTAAGTGTGATTTCTGTATGATTCCAATCGCTTTTTATAGTCAAAATCAGCTAATTTGCCGAGCTCCGCTACAACTACGGGTAGCGATGAGAAGTGAGGCAGGGACGAGCTCTGCCTCTCGTAAGCCCACAGTAACTGGCTGGAGCGCGGGCACTAATTTAGCGCGGGCACTTATTTTGTGAGCGCGCTAAAGCCAGTTACTGTGTGGTGAGGTGAGGCACAGATGAGCTCTGCCTCACCTCAGAATGCGTCACCCCACAGAAACTGGCTGGAAAGCGGGCCCTAAGTGCCTGTTACCATCTCACTGTATGTCACCAATGTAATGTTTGTAGATCCCTTTATTACATTTATCCTCGCCATCCATAGTCTCTAAATAACTTATTTCACGTATATATGATATTTAGTCTCGCTGGTCTCATCACAACGGCAATGAAAAAAGCACCAGGAGAGGCAGCCATAACCTCTGCCGCACTGAAGGGGGCGCAGGTGAGCCCACAAGTTCTTGTTGCTACTGTTATTCTACGCAGAGACGGTAGACGCAAACAACAAGCTAGACTTTTGAAACTAGAGGAAGATAAGGAGGATTTTTACAAAAATGTAATGGAGATTGTTGTCCAGAAGGATAGCATGGACTGCATCTTCAAGTCAAGGTAAGACCACAATTGTAATGAACATGAGATCTTACTAAGAAAGAACAATCCAATATTTAGATGTTGGGTATCCTTTTGTTGAACGGTCTGTTTAAAATGAATTGAAGCATCAGACTAAAAAAGCTTTTGAAAATAACAGAATATTTCGATTAAGGTCAAAATATAATATTTGTAAATCTGACTCTGAAAGAGTCAGTGCCTCACCAGCCATGAACCTCACCGCACGTCACTGATACATACATACATACATACACACATATATATCATTATTATTATTATTATAAATACATACATACTATTATTATTTATTACATTTTAGATTTTATTTTTTATACCCCTGGAAATAATTACACTGCACTTTATTCCTTATTCCTAAGTATGTATGCTGCGTGTATTTGTTGTCTTATGCTATGATGTTTTTTGTTTCGATGGCACCTTTTGAAAGGGAGAAGCATTTATTTATCTCATTGTACATGTATAATAACATTAAAGGATTCTATTCTATTCTATCAATACATACTCACTGTACAGGACATGGTTGGGTCAGAGATGATGTTAATATGTTGTTATGGTCGGCTGGTTATTAAAATCTCTCACAGGGTTGACCTACAATCTTTGAGCAGATTAACTGGTGGAGCAGTTTGGACTTTAAAGCGAGAGACAAACACTTGTACCAGGTAGTATTGCAGTGCTGTAGAACACTCACAATCACAGATGTAAAGAACAACAAGAGTTTGTCTGATAAGACCAGAAAGACCTAAAGAAAATAAATGATTTGTTTTGTCCTTTTGCAGATATATTCTGGCAGTAAAGATATTAACACTAATATTCAGTGTGGTATACCTGGTGATTGGTTCGGAGGTTGTCAATTTGCTTCTTGAACACACATGTCCAGAAGTCCTTACAGATGAACTTCATGATGTCGAGCTCATCTTTGAACCGTGCCGTGTCTTTGGTTAATCTAGAGAAAAGGAAAGCTGTTCAGAATCCAGAAGCTCTGCCTTTCATACGGACGCTTCTGAAATAAGATCCAGAGTTTGAGTCTGACTTCTCAGCCTTGTCGAAGTTATTCACCATGTCAAAAAAAAACTTCATTCATACCTTTTCCATGCACATAGAAAGGTACACACACACACACACACACACACACACACACACACACACACACACACACACACACACACACACACACACACACACACACACACACACACACACACACACACACACACACACACACACACACACACACACACACACACACACACACACACACACACACACACACCACACACACACACACACACACACACACACACACACACACACACACACACACACACACACACACACACACACACACACACACACACACACACACACACACACACACACACACACACACACACACACACACACACACACACACACACACACACACACACACACACACCACACACACACACACACACACACACACACCACACACACACACACACACACACACACACACACACACACACACACACACACACACACACACACACCTCTCCACCAGCCCCTGGCCCACTCTACAGCCCATGTTCTCCAGGGTAGAGATGTCCCCGCCATGTTCCTGAGAGGACAGAGAGGAGGATGAGATGATTGACAGCTCTGATCAGACAACACTCGGTCGTTTTCTTACCGTGTCCCCGCTGTCAGCTGACTTGTAGATGTACTGTATCACTTCGTTATGTAGAAACTGGAAAGGAGCTTCGTCTGCCATTGTTCCTCCTCTTAAGTGTTGTTTCATTACACTGAGCCCGACATTACTACAGTTAGACTGCTAATAAACAGGACTTTATTCAACACAAACAGGGAGCGCTTTCTGCTGCTTCCTTGTTGCTCTCTCGGCAGAGGGGGCAGACAGAGCTCCACACCGCCCCCTGCTGGCCCGGAGGCATCTATCGTTTTTCCAACCCAGTTTAGATGTAACCACGCCCACTTCCGCATTACGCAAGAACGTAGCACTACGCGATAGCGTCATAGACTTCATCTTCGGCAGTTATAGCGGTCGCGGTAAAGCAGGATATTGAATAGTTGTTTTTTCTCTTTCCAAAGGATTTGTTGACTGAAAGTAAACGATCCTGTAATCAAAGCTATATCGAAGAGTCCTGAGATTGTATTACTGGTGTTTTATCATCTATAAATAGCCTGTGTGTATTCTCAAATGTCGTTTTCAGGACAAACAAAAGACGTTTTAAATATCTTATCAGCTGGTGTAAGTGTAGAATATTGAATATAACCTTGACTATTACTGTGTATACTTCATTTATCTGACAGCATTATTTAATGATACTATTTTATATATATATATATATTTATTTAATGATACTATTATATATATATATATATATATATATATATATATATACATGTATTCATTTATAAACATATATAACACACACTTATATGTACTCACACATGTATTTATTAATTTATATACACAGATGTATTCATTCATTTATACACACACAGCATTATTTAATGATACTGTTTTATATATATATATACACACATTTATTCATTTATAAACATATAAACACACACTTATATGTACTCACACATGTATTTATTCATGTACACACACAGATACATATATATCAGCGACGTGCAGTCAGGGGAGGCAGAGCCTCACCTGTCATACTCCAATGTAACGGAAAAACAACTAAAGAAAAACTAAATAGTAATAATAATAAAATGTCTCCACTGATCTGTGTTGTAAGTGTGATTTCTGTATGATTCCAATCGCTTTTTATAGTCAAAATCAGCAAATTTGCCGAGCTCCGCTACAACTACGGGTAGCGATGAGAAGTGAGGCAGGGACGAGCTCTGCCTCTCGTAAGCCCACAGTAACTGGCTGGAGCGCGAGCACTAATGTAGCGCGGGCATTTATTTTGTGAGCGCGCTCAAGCCAGTTACGGAGCGTCCACACTACAGCTTCAAAAAAAGCTTGGAGCTGGGCGTGTCTGAAGCTTGGGGATGTTATTCAAGCAACACGACTAACAACCAATCACATGAATCTCCCGCCCCCGACATACAAAGCAAAAAACCCCGGGGATTTTATGGGAGCAATATATATATAAACTCCCCAAACAGGCGAAAACCTACCAGTTTCACCCAGATCTGTCTCTGCCACCTCCCTCCATGCCTGGTTCTTCCGGTTTGTATCCCGGTAGGTGAAGAGGGTCTGGTCATACAAAACCGGGTGATTCGCTACGGCGATAATTAGTTTCTCCTCCATCTTTTTTTGAAATATAGAAATGAACGGCGGGATATCTCTCCCAGCTTAGACGCGGTTTGATTGGCTACGGCTTGAGCTGTCAGATTTTCCGAAACGGGATTTGATTGGCTGCCGCTGGCTACTCCGGCGTCTCCGGCGTCAGAAGTTGAACAATGTTCAACTTCTGACGCCTGACGGCCCGTCCACACAGCAGCTTTTGGCGATTTGTCCACCGCTTCCAGCGCGTCTCCGCCCATTGACTTTGAATGGGGATGACGTCACTTTCCCTCGCTTGTCGCCGAATTGCATTGTGGGGGGGCGAGGCGAAGATTTCCAGGATTTCCAGGATGTTCAGGATTCCAAAGTTGAACAATGTTCAACTTTTGAGGCTGAGCTGGAAGCGACAGCCAATCAGATCCGTTTATGCAAATCTGACAGTTCAAGCGCTAGCCAATCAAACCGCGTGCAAGCTGGGAGAACGAGACCCGCAGTTCATTTCTATATTCCACAAAAATGGAGGAGAACTTAGTTATTGCGGTAGCAAATCACCCGGTTCTTTATGACCAGTCCCTATTTACTTACCGGGATACAAACCGGAGGAACCAGGCATGGGGGGAGGTGGCAGAGGCAGTGGGTGAAACTGGTAGGTTTTCGCTTGTTTGGGGATTTTATATCCAGTTTACTTCGTTGCTAGTTTACTTCGTTGCTAGCAAGCATAGACAGTATCATTAGCCAGCATGGAATGTAGCATAAAATAGCACCATAAACATTAATCTCATAAATATTCAAAATGTTAAAAAAATAAATGTTCATCATAGCCCTTCCTATTTGACAATAGTGTAGAAGAACCGGGTTTTTTTGCTTTGTATGTCGGGGGCGGGATATTCATGTGATATTCATGTGATTGGTTGTTGGTCGCGAAATCCCCAAGCTGTCAGACACGCCCAGCTCCAGGATTTTCAAGATTTGGTCAAAGCTGCTGTGTGGACACACCGTGACGGAGCGTCCACACAGCAGCGTGCGTTGACGCTTGGAGGTGGGCGTATCTGAAGCTTGGGGATTTTTTGCGAGCAACACGACCAACAACCAATCACATGAATCTCCCGCCCCCGACATACAAAGCAATAGCAATGTTAAAACGAAGTAAACTGGATATAAAATCCCCAAACAGGCGAAAACCTACCAGATTCACCCACTGTCTCTGCCTCCTCCCTCCATGCCTCGCTCCTCCGGTTTGTATCCCGGTAGATGAACAGAGACTGATCATACAGCACCGGGTGATTCACTACCGCTACAATGAATTTTCCCTCAATTTTTTTGAATATGAGGAAATGACCTGCGTAGTCTCTCCCAGCATACACGCGGTTTGATTGGCTAGCGATTGTACTGGCAGATTTGAATAAACGGGATTTCATTGGCTGACGCCTCCGTCGAGGCGTCAAAAGTTGAACATTGCTCAACTTTTGACGCCAGCAACGCTCCACGTCGCTTCCCAAAATATAGTTCGGCTAAAAGTGACGTCACCCCATTCAAAGTGAATGGGCAGAAGCGTTGGAAGCTTCAACGCACGCCGCTGTGTGGACAGGCCGTAAGACGCCGGAGACGGACCGCTCTGCTACCCACAATTCAGTTCGGCGAAAAAAAGCGGCAACATGACGTCACCCCATTCAAAGATTGAAGCTGTCGACGCTGCAGACGCTGTAGTGTGGACGGGCCGTTACTGTGTGGTGAGGTGAGGCACAGATGAGCTCTGCCTCACCTCAGAATGCATCACCCCACAGAAACTGGCTGGAAAGCGGGCCCTAAGTGCCTGTTACCATCTCACTGTATGTCACCAATGTAATGTTTGTAGATCCCTTTATTACATTTATCCTCGCCATCCATAGTTTCTAAATAACTTATTTCACGTATATGATATTTAGGCTCGCCGTACAACGGCAATGAAAAAAGCACCAGGAGAGGCAGCCATAACCTCTGCCGCACTGAAGGGGGCGCACGTGAGCCCACAGGTTCTTGTTGCTACTGTTATTCTACGCAGAGACGGAACGCAAACAACAAACTAGACTTTTGAAACTACAGGAAGATAAGGAGGATTTTTACAAAGAAGTAATAGAGATTGTTGTCCAGAAGGATAGCATGGACTTCATCTTCAAGTCAAGGTAAGACCACATTGGTAATGAAAATTGGATCTTACTAAGAAAGAACAATCCAATATTTAGATGTTGGGTATCCTTTTGTTGAAAGGTCTGTTTAAAATGAATTGAAGCATCAGACTAAAAAAGCTTTTGAAAATAACAGAATATTTCGATTAAGGTCAAAATATAATATTTGTAAATCTGACTCTGAAAGAGTCAGTGCCTCACCAGCCATGAACCTCACCTTACGTCACTGATATATAGGGCTGTCAAGTTAACGCGTTAATAACGCGTTAACGCAAGAAAAAAAAATGAACGCCACTAATTATTTTAACGCGATTAACGCATGTGTATTTTTTGTCCTCGGCCGCCCCGTAGTTTCAGAGCGCATCGAGTTTAAAATACCATCTACAAGCTGATGCTGACAGCCCCGCTCCTGCCGCCCGCTTGTGGCAGACCACACTTCCACGCTCACCGGCAGGCACCGACTGGCTGTTGGGAGGACCGGGAGGGTGTGTGTATGTGTGGCACGAGCGAGCGAGAGAGAGACCTTATGTGCATTGTTGTTGTTAGCATCTGGTGCTAGCTAGCTGCGCTAACGGATATGGAGCTGTTTAAATGAAAACAGAGGAGCGACATTTCGCCACAACTGCGCCGAGCACTTGACTTGATGCAGGCAGCCAGACAGTGGGACATTGTACGAAAAGTCAGCACACTCAGCACGGATAGTGCGCAACATGATTGCAGCGTCCAGGCAGCTCCCGTTCGAGCATATGCCTTGAGTTGCACATAGCTCCAACGATCCATCACACACACACACACACACACACACACACACACACACACACACACACACACACACACACACACACACACACACACACACACACACACACACACACACACACAGTACACACACACACACACACACACACACACACACACACACACACACACACACACACACACACACACACAACACACACACTTTGTATTGTATTATTGTATGAGAGAGGTTCCAGGTTGAATTGAGGCGAATATTTGTAATGTTCAGAGGTTGTTGTGTTTAATATTCATGAGAATATTTGTCATTGTTCAAATGATAATAAACATTAGCATAAAGCATATTTGTCCACTCATATGTTGATAAGAGTATTAAAAACTTGAAAAATATTCCTCTAAGGTACATTTAGAACAAATACAAAATGTGCAATTAATTTGCGATTAATCGCGATTAACTATGGACAATCATGCGATTAATCGCGATTAAATATTGTAATCGACTGACAGCCCTAATATATATATATATATATATATATATAAACAAAACAACACAATATAATAAAAACATATGTATGGAGTACCCGCAGTTGAAGGTATCTGATAAGACCTATCTCTCAATATTATGATGAACATCAAATTACATTGGATGTGTTTGCTCATATCAATGCCTCACCTACACATAGATAGAGGGTGTCGTTTTTTCTCATACTGATATTCTGAACAATCTGTGCTGTTGTATTTGC